AAGCCGATGGCCAATATTTTGAATAAAAAAAAATTAATTTCCCTTGAAAATTACGTGTTTTTTTTTCCAAAAAATCGGAAAAAACTTATGCATACACCTGTATATATATATATATATATATTAGGGGTACAAATAAGTTCGTGCGGTTTTTTCTCGAAATTTGGGGCTTTATTGTGAAAAACCGGTTACAATGTAATCATTCAAAGTATTGTCCATCGCTGGCCACTACTTTCTCCCATCTTTCGGGCAATTTGCGGATACCATCTCGGAAAAACGATGTGGGTTTTGATGCGATCCATGAATCGACCCATTTTTTGGTTTCCTCGTAAGAACGGAAATGCTGCTCAGCCAGGCCATGTGTCATCGAGCGGAAGAGGTGGTAGTTGGAAGGGGCAAGGTCTGGACTATACGGCGGGTGGGGTAGGACTTCCCATTTCAACGTTTCCAAGTACTTTTTCACGGCTTGTGCGGCATGAGGTCGAGCATTGTCGTGCTGCAAAATTATTTTGTCGTGCCTCTGCTCGTATTGTGGCCGTTTTTCCTTCAATTCTCGGCTTAAACGCATCAATTGCAGTTGGTAGCGATCGTCAGTGACGGTTTCGTTTGGCTGGAGCAGCTCATAATACACCACACCGACCTGATCCCACCAAATACAGAGCATAAGCTTGGAATCGTGAATATTCGGCTTTGCCGTCGATGTTGATGCGTGACCGGGCTTACCCCACGATTTTCTTCGCTTTGGGTTATCGTAATAGATCCATTTTTCATCGCCCGTGACGATACGATCCAGAAAATCCTTTCTTTTTTGCCTTTCAGACAGTTGTTGACAAGCAAAAAATCGCCTTTCAATGTCTTTCGGTTTCAATTCGTACGGAACCCAATTTCCTTGCTTTTGAATCATTCCCATGGCTTTGAGGCGTAAAGAAATGTTTTGTTGAGTCACTTCCAATGATAATGCAAGCTCTTCTTGCGTTTGACATGGATCTTCATCGAGTAATGCCTCTAATTCTGCGTCTTCAAACTTTCTTGGACATCCGGCACCCTCTTGGTCTTCCAAATCAAAGTCATCACTCTTAAACCGTGCAAACCACTCCTGACACGTTCGCTCAGATAGAGCATGGTCACCATAAACTTCCGCTAAAATACGATGACTTTCGGCAGCACTTTTCTTCATATTGAAGTAATGCAGTAAAACTCTCTGCAAAAACACTTTATTTGGTACAAAGTTCGACATATTTGACGAAGTAAAAATATTGTTGTTTACAATTCGAACAAATGACACATACTGAACTTAACCTACTAATGATAGCTATCCAACGCATACTTAGAAATACGGAACGGTGGAATGAAACAGTAGTTACGCCATCTCTTTCAAAACCGCACGAACTTATTTGTACCCCTAATAATTTTGAAGCGCACGATGGACATTTTATTGTAATTTTTAACTCAAGCTCTCGTTTACTTGATTCTTCATATTTCCTCCACAAGATTTGCATTTTACATGTTTAGCAAGCGCCAGAAAAATGAAGTAAAAATTGATGATTTTATATAGCCGATGGTCTAATAGTCTAATTAACGGAAAAATTAAATGTCTTGGACGATTTCAATTTTTTAGCAGAAGTATTGATAAAATTTATTAGTTTCTCTATTTCATATTTATTTGGAGGACGCTGTCCTTTTCTTATGGTTATCCGACTGTATACTTTTTCTATCCATTTCATTTCGTGTAGAAATGAATATTGATGCGTACTGTACCTCATGCTATAGATAACTAACGGCCAACGAACTTTTTAATTATATGAAACATACACACACACACATCTGTATGTGATCATGAAAGTACAAAAGACTAGGTCGAGAAGCCTATTTACGTTCGATATAAGACAACCGATCAGATGCGTACCTCAGCATTGTGCACCGGTCCGCCAAAACTCACAAACTCGAAAAATATTTCAAATTGCACAAAAATTTTTTAAGAGCATATTTTTAAGACATCAATCTTTCGAAAAAAAAATAATAAAATTTTTTTGATTTTTTGAAAATTTTACTCTGTTTTACGTTCTTAAATTGACAAACATTTACAAAGAATATATTAGCACATATAATATGATTCATTATGATTTACTCGACTCATTTTTATTTTGATATTTCATCTTGAAATACCCTCTGCGAGGTTCACGACTCGTTGGTAATTCTGCGTTTCCACCAACATAAGGAGCACCTTGATGTAATTGCAATAATACTGGAGGAACCGGAATACAGCCTGCCAAGCAATTAACGTGCTGCATGATTGATATTGGTAACGGAGTAATTATGAACACTTCCTGTCGTTCCATATCGACACCTCGAACTATGCCTATGCATTAATACAGGATACATTCATAATATTTTTTTAAATATATATCGTATATATGAATATATATGAATAAATATTTTGTTAAAAATTCCTGCTTAACTGAAACTATTCACTTTGTGAAGCTACTGCTCAAACCGTGGCCAATCGATCGAAAATTGTTCGAGTTATAGACCAGTTGAAAAATAATATAATAACTTATAATTAATTGATTATCACATAGAACAAATATTATTGATTAATCATTATTTCATAACATTTATTAACTTCTTAAATATATATAAAATATCTTACTGTGGTCCCTGTGTTTAACAATAGTAAATAAGTAAAAAATATATTAAACAAGTAAGTAAACATCTATTTATATAAATATATATACGTATATGTAATATATATATATTAGGTGTTGGAATTAATTCGTAGCGTTTTTTAATGAAAGAATGAATATCCGTAATACAATAAATTTATTTTTTAAACAATAAAAACGTTAAAAATATCCAAATGGTTCCTCCTTACATTTAAAAAATGCAGTTCAATATTTATCTCTGCATATACTATTTTGAAATGCTGTTTAATATTTTTTGTGCTTCTTGTTTCGCTTGTTGATCTTCATCATTCTTTGCAGGAAATTCAGCAGTTTTTTTAAAATATTTTATCGCGTCTTCCGTACGATTCAATTTCAAATATGTTTTTCCTAGCATTAGTAAATTATGACTGTAGAAATTTGGATCAGTTTTTTCAGCAGCCTCGTGATACATCAACGCTTCTTCAAATGTCGAAGTTGGTGGTTCTCCAAATACAACAGATGCTATTTTTCGTTGATACCATGTCAGATTTGAAACCTCATAGCACCAGCTTCCAAGCATATAAAGTAACGTTGCATCACTAGGATTTAACTCTAACGCTCTCTAGAATAAATAATAATAATAATAATAATAATTTAAGATCGTAGTAATGATTTGTGAGATCATCTTCATTTTTTTGCACTATTTATAAAATATAATATTTCACTATTTAAATTGCAAAGTAATATCCAGCAAGTAATTGAAGTAATCATTTGTCAAATATCTTACCAACATATGTTTTTTAATATTATACGATTCCTTTATATGTGTCTTTGTACCTTCCAAAATACTTTTTTTATTAAGAAATATAGATATCCATTTATGCAAGGCGTAATGATCTTCTTGAATATCAAGAGCTTTACATAATAAATCATATCCCTCATAAGTTAACTTTTGTGCTTCAACATCACTGGCTATTTCAGACATTTTATAAATGGCTCTACTTAAACGCCATAAGATTTCAACATCCTTACTGTCCTATATAATATAAAAAAGACATATTATAGTTATACGTAAGTTGCATACAACATATACATTATAATTGTGTAATTAAGAAAATGTAAATGCGTTATATAAATTAGAAAATGTAATTACCTTATAGTTTGAGAGAAGATTATATATATTTCTATAGTTTCCCTGATCGAAAAGCGTATCTGCTTTAGCAAGAAGTTCTTTTATTGCAATTTGTGTTTTGTCATCACTATTGCTTTTTATAAATCCCCATATTCCCATTACAGTAAATGGTGACATTATTGTTAACTTTCTAAAAATGTGCATATTGTTTTCCCACTGGAAAAAAAATCTTTAATTTATTAATACTTAACTAAGTTATTGTTACTATTGCTGTCATATTTTATATTTTGTTTTCTATTTACCTTACGTACTGGATGAATATTTTTATATAAAACAGCTCTTCGAAGAATTCTGTTGCAGTTTGTAATACGATATAATCTTTGTAGTAGCATTTTTACTTAAATTTTCGATTGGAAAATTCTTATTAGAAGAAGATAGTAAGAGATTATGTGATGAATTAGCAGTAAATTGAAACTAAAGTTAACCTACACAAACCAAAAAAAGTTTAATTTGTAGGCGTTATACAGAAACTATATCTTAATCAGAGTCATCAGAGTTCACAATATTTTTCAAACATTTATCATCACATATAACGTTACATATATAAATTTTTATATATGCATTGTGTGTACTATCTACAGCTTTGTGTCAAATGAACAAGTCAATGCATTAGGCTTTTTCACTTGACGCTACGATGCTCATTTTCAGCGTCAAGTGAAAATCCAGCCTTATGCAAGTGTACACAATCAATACGAATCATCTATGACATGACCAGCTGTAGATATATCTGTTATACATGCACATGTTGTCTATTAATATAATACAGCAAAATGCATCCGAGATGAATCCGATAAGAAAGATAATACTTAACATATATGCATTTTTTTTGCAGAAAAACTACATATGATATCAATAGAACTTAACACATGTAAATTAAATATGTAGATACAGTGATCCTAAATTCAAAACCTTATATTTGAAATATGATAAACGCATTTTTATAAAAATAATATCAATTTATATCTAACAACGTAATGTTGAATAATAGTAAACATAATAGTAAAAGTTGAATAAACGTAACAACTATAAAATATCAATAAATATAAAAATAATTATAAAAAATACAAAAATATTTATATATAAAAAAAACATTTTAGTTATAAAATATAAATGATTATAAAAACATTAATAAGATATCAACTAAATTTTATTACAAATGAAATAGATTAATCGCAATTATTTTGGAAATAAATAGACAGATTAGTGCGATGAATTAGATTTTTATTTGGAAGATACACAGGTATATTGATAGGATAGTTCAACGTAATCGAGATAAGAGGGATTGGGTGGATAGTGATTAAACACAAATGTACAAACGAAATACAATAAACAGTACGTTTCATCGGTGTGGTGCGTGGCTTATTGGCGGCGCAATATAAGAAACATATTCTTTCTTTCTCTCTTCTCACGTCTTCTGGGTCTATTTAATAATTGTACAATAAACTCGCTTATATGCTAAAGCCTCACACACTAATCGTTTTTTCCGTTTTAAAAATAATCATGTTTCTTTACTTTTCGTAATAGAAAAAAAATCAGGTAATGTGTTACATCGTAAACGAAGACATTGCACCGCAATCTCTTTCGCTTAACCGTAGCTGTGTGAGCGCGATCATCGAGAAGAATTTTGGAATTACCCAGAAAAAACAGGAGAAGGAACGATAACAATTTAAAGCATTATCACGATATATCTTTACATGAAAAAAAATACGTTTTTTTATAAATTTTATATATCGCGAATCATTTACAGCTCCTAAATTACTGGTTTCTCGATAAATTTTAGTTTATGTTTGAAATTCAATGTCAGGAATATCGTTAGTAGTAGAAGGCATGGCTCAATATATCCTCTTTTTTCTGGTATCTAAAATTCTTTTTTAAATGACGCAAGACAAAGGTCGTGCCTATTATACACTTATAATCATCTTAACATTATTTTTAAATACGTTCTTGAGTCTTTACATGAAATGTTGTATGAGTTCTCGTTTTTTTTTTATATTTTTTATAATAAAATTATTTTTCTAATCTTTGTTAATCAGCTGTTGTTGCCCTGTGAAACCTGCCTTCTGTCATAATATAATAATACTTGCACGGTAGGTTCACACTTCTGAATTTGGTTGATTTTCTTTCATATATCACAATGTTATCTCTGCATTTTTTATCAACATTAATCTTCTCTTCATAATTACAAACACCAAATTCATATGTAAACTTTTATTTGTTCAATGTCATATTTAAGAAATGTCCTAAGCCGCAAGTACCCGCAAATGCCAGCGCAAGATTTTTCGAATTTTCTTTCATGTCATACTTACCTTTGTACGACATACATCAGATGCAAGTTACGTTTTGTATGTAATCAATAAACTTTATCTTCTCAATGTTATTTGATACATATATGAATATGCAATAGATAAAAAACATGTAATACAGTTAAATCTGTACTACAAAAGCTGACTTAGTCCCACTTAATCCACTTAATCGATCTTTTTAATATCAAAGTTACTATATTGTGTATAATATTTTTAAGCATGCAATACTGCACGGTATCCACTACATTGAAGTTTCATCTCATTGCAAATGCATTGTTTCGACTTAAGCTTTTTCATAAATAGACAGTTGAATCTTAATCGCAGAGCATCTTATAGTGTGTTTTACTGTGCATTTACGCCAAATATAACGTTTTTTTTCTTCCTTATTGCGTATGAGGCTTGCCGCGTGGTGCGTATCCACGATTGCTTCCCCTTTGTCCTCGGAATTGTCCGCGACTAACGCGGTCGTTGCGTGTACCTCTTGATCCACCGCCACTGCCACGCTTGAAGCCAGAATTATATCCGTTATTTCCTTCGTTGTTGCCCCAGGCACGCTGCTGATATCCGTTTTGATAGTTACTATCATTACGATAATACGTGCCTGAAAAAAAAATTAATGCCATATGTTTTAGCCTTTGAAATTAAAAGATTTATTCAAAATACTGAAAGAATGTTTTATGAACAATTATAAAAAATAATCTGTTTAATTTAAAATATCCTTTTACCTTGTCCTGCGCGTCCATTTTGTTGATAATTTCCCCTGCCTCTGCTATTATAGCTATTAGCAGTCCCTCTTCTGCCACCTCTTCCTCTGTACCCACCACGTTGATCAGGTACCCAAGTCTGCTGAGATGTCTGTTGTGACGCTTGCTGGCAATCTTGGACAGATTGTTGTTGTTGATCAGACTGATTCCAATCATTGGTCTCGGTCATCTGACACCAATCGATCGATTCATTTTGTTGTTCCAATGATGGGTCGGGAATTTCATTTTGACCATTCTCAATCTTTTCCTGGAAGAATCCGTCACAATGAAAATCAATAGCGTATATAATTTAATAAATCAATTTTAGTCCAAGAATGTTACCTCTGTGGATGCTTGAGCTTCTTGCTGATGCGTTTGCTCGTTGAAGTTTTGCATTTGACCTTGCTGGGGCAATTGTGCGGTATTTTGTTGCTGCTGTGATTGTTGAGGCTGGAAACTGGTGGGATGTTGCGGGCTATATTGCATATTTGGCTGCTGATGAGAGGGTGGCATCGGAATCGGCGGTGGTGGATTAGGATTCGCGAAACCAGGAATGTGCGACATATCTTGCGGCGGTTGGTGTTGGTATATGACCTGTTGAGGTACGCCCACAGGTGCATTTGCAAAGTTCTGATTTGTGAAGGTTTGCGAAGGAATAGGCGCATTAACTGTAGGAGGAATGTGTGATACGATGGGTGTTTGCGACGTAACATCTGAATCAAGTTCAGATTCTTGCAAGAAAAAGAAGTTAGGCGTGCCTATAACGTCATTGATACGAGGCGCCGATGGAGGTTGCTGCTGAGATTGCTGAGCTTGCTGCTGCTGTTGTTGTTGTTGTGGTTGAGGAACAAAAGTAGTGGCATTCGTATAATACGGGGTGTCGACTGGCGCAGCTGGGTGAGGTGGCATAGGTTGTGGTACAACCGGTATGGGTCCCGAAACTGGAGCAGCACCAGAAACAACGGGAAGTGTAGTAACTTGAACTGGAAAATTTGGAATAGGTATCATGGATTCCGGTGGAATGTGCCTGTCATTTCCATTGCTGTATTCTTCGTTGACCTGTTCTTGAGCTGTCTGTGCATTCGTAATCTTAATCTCTGCCACAGTTTCAGTAATCTGTACAAATATAAATCGATCAGATTTTATTTATATATATATATATATATATATATATATATATATATATATAATCAGATTATAGATTAAATATCGTGATTCAATACCTCTTCGATTGGTGTTGTCTCTAAACATTCGTGAATTTGATCGAAATAGCCGCTCTGATTAATTTTTGCAATTATCTCTTTCAATTTATTATAAGTAGTGCCAATAACTTCACGTTGCTTTCCATCAACAATCGCAACATAATGCTCCGCCACTTTTTGTGCTTGCTGAACAAATGTCAGATCACCTTCTTCACGCTGATTCTTTATCACTATCTCATTATATAAATTGTCTAGATACTTGAATTCTTCCTCCGTCAGTTTTATAGCCCCGTTCTTTCCATGAAAGAAGTCATCTCTAACAGAATCAGTGTTTATGTTTATTAGGACATGCTGAGCAAGTAGCACTTCCTTTACCTACAACCGAAATCATATTTTCTTAAAATTACATCTTATATAATATATGTAAGAATGTATAATAATTTAATTGTATATAAGAACAATATAATAATTTTATTTTGAATTATACTTTTGCAATGTCTTGTTGCATACGCTCAACAGCCTCTTTCCGTGCCAATTTCTTCTGCTGTTTAACCGCATCATTGGCAATATTAACGATTTGCTTATACAAGTCCCGTGTAATTTCCAACGTTTGAAGCACCTCATCATACTTCGCCACCGCTGTCTTTTGGTCTGAATTTAATTCTCTTCCATTTTTTTGCAAATCTCTGTAGGATTCGAGCCTTCCCTAAATTTAAAGAATACATTTATAGATTTGTTTGATTCCTTTTGAGAGAGAAAGAGAAAGATAGAAAGAGGATAGAAAGAAAAAAAAGAGACAACTAATTACATTCAACATTAAATTATAAATTGTAAAATAAGCATTATATTTACACAAGATCTGTTTTCTGTAGCTAAACTAATATATACTTTCAAAATAATGTGAAACAGATATACATTTAATTTGGCTGAAGCAAGAAAGTTCTAGTGCAGTTTAGTGCAAGAATAAAAAAGAATAAAAAATCCATTGTGTTTACATCGAAACAAAGCATGGTAATAAATCAGTTAGAACATAATATAAGACATAACAAAAGTTTAGACAACATCAAAGTATATGCTCTTGTTTTTAAACTAAAAGATCAAACGTTTAGAAATATTCCGCGAAAGCATGACGAAATGCACGACAAAGCAGCGTCGACATTTATCGCGAACAAACTAAAACTGGAAACCGGGAAACGCCGAACGTCGATCGCGGGAACACCCTGTGACGCAACGAGACTCCAATGTAAATAAAATTATCAGCGGACGTTATTATCGGGTACGTGCCAGCGTCGCGTCCCGCGTTAAAAAGGGCGTTAAAAAGCGCATCGTGCATAAAGAAAAATTTCGTGTACACGTAGACTGTACACCGCCATGATATAAGGT